TGGAAGAATAGCTCGAAGTAAGCCTTTTGTGAATTCAAAAAAGAATCAAAAGTTGCAGTTAGTATTCAGTTCATTGTTGCATTACTAAGGAATTAATTAAATTTTAATACTATTCTGTTTGTAGAGGCATTATTTGTTGCAGGATTTATATATTTTTTCTTATGTATAGAACTTAATCTAGGAACGTAATACTGAGAAATGTTACTCCACGAATCGCACGAATCTACTCTTGTTCGTCTACTTGTTAAATTAAATTTTCATTGATTTTAACGTTCATAAAAAGTAATTGATATTAAATATATGCCTTCGAATTGTTAAATTATATCAACAGATTATAGAGCACATCCGTCCACTTGTTGTATTTTTTATCTCTTGTGTACATTTTCGAATCATACACTACTTGAGAATTAATGAATAAAATAAATTTTTATATCAATCTTTCGGGTGGAGCAGTAAGCGTAGTAGTACATATAAGTAAAAAAGTAATAGAGTTGACCTATTTTAGTGTGATATTTTTATATTAATGCTTTACAGAAATAATGATAATAATGATAATCTTTACTCAGTGATTTTCTCTTTTAAAATAGGAATTAATTAATGCCGTAAAACGGTTTCTAAGTTTTTCGTTTGCTTGGTTAATAAAGCCTATCAATCATGCATGTGGTCTAAGCGCTGCGTATATTACATACATATTAAAAATTATAATCATTAAAAAGTTATTACACTAAAAAACATTAATCATTAAAGCTGTAAATATTTTACGCAGCTCAACTACTCATGTGGAAATGTTATAAAAATTTTACACGATTATACATGGAATTTTATGTATAAAATGTGAAATATTTTATACAACGAAATCAAATACAAATCGCTAGTATCTATAATTTCCAGTACCACGTATTATCATTGTATCAAATTATTTTAGCTCGACCGGCCGGCCGGCCGGCGTCGTATGTCTGTATACTTTGCAAATTTATTATATATACATATTTGAATATATTTGTATATGTGTTCACTGGTATTCAATACAGTTATGTTTATTTATTTTTTTTTTGTTCATTTTGCCTACATACACATATTTATAATTATTATTTTATTATTAATAAATGTCGATGATCTTTAGCCCTCGGTTTGCTTAGCTTTGGCTGGCAATGCGGCGCGAATCAAGTTTTGGGCGCTTCGACTGCTAATGTGTGTCCATTCACCAATTGCAGAACCACACGTCATCAGATTTTTGATTATTTAAATACTTTGTTGTTTAATGTTTTATTATTTACTTTTTTCATTTCGTGCTTATGCAGTATATTTATACAATACTATATACATACTAAATTTGTATATACGATTACTTTTAGTTTGCTTTAAAAACTCTGAAAGCCCATATCAAATTTTTGAATGATTTTATTACCATGTTAAATTGAATAAATACAGAAAAAAATATGGAATTTCACTGATAAGCGGTTTTCAGAATTTTCTTGATTTGTTTCCATGTCTTCTTATTTATCAACGTATTTTTTGAATTTTTTTTTATAAAGCTAAGTTTTTTGCTGTAGATCTAAATTTATGTCATACAAGTACTGGAACTTGCTTGTAATGCTATATAAAAAAGTGTGGAATTATTATTATACATATATATATATATGTTTATGATTTTTTTTTTATTATTATCAGTTCATGAAAGTATATTTATTAATTATTGTTATACATTATCAACCTGTAATTATTTAAATATAGTTCATAATCACAACAATACATTTTTTTTCTATAACTTCACTCTAAAAACGCTCAGTTCTTCAAAAATGGGTATTCTCCATTATAATAATAATATCTTCTGTCATCTTTTTAACTAGTATAAGACTGCTCATAAGAGCATAAGACTGATAAGACTGCTGATCTACATATGTTGGCAGAAAATCTACTAAATCTTGTTCAACGTTCTCATTTGAAGTCAAGATTTTGTCATCTAAGAAATTGAGTAGAAACTGAAAAATGAAAAACTAGGTTTTAATTAGCTTTATTATAAATGAGTATTGGGCTATCAGTCAGCATATATGAAATGGACTAGGTTTTAAGTTCAGAGAATGTGGTGGGAGTGGTAATACAGTCTATTCAATTTTTCTTATCAATTTGGTCTTTTTTTTTGTTAAGATGAATTACAATTTGTGTCTTTTCGATAAGGCGAAAGACAAGAGTATACTTTAAACGTATTCGCGGTATTTTTTGCTAAAAGCTCAACAAACAACAAACAATTCCTTTCAAATCCAACATTACGTTTTCTAATGATTATTGGTTTACGAAATGCTTTTGCCTGGTTTATTTTTTTTTAATTTATAAGCTCTTATGTTCAACATTGTTGCAAACAATTCATTTCTTATTGTAAATGACGAAGTTTGAAATTAAACTAACGCTTTTTACGTCTATCACTACTCTCATAAGTTCTTATTTTTACTCCCATCAATCAATATCTTTATTTTGTCTTCAGTAGTTTCAACTATGCTTGCAGATAACATAAAATTAATTAAAGCCAACCTCAACTTCACTTACTCAAATAATTAAGTCATACATTAAAAATGTTGCAAATAAGTTGCACAACTAACTTAAGTTTGTAACAATTGCGGAATAAACCTCTTCAGTCCACCTTCACAAGCTTGTAAAAAGTGCTAGATAACAGCAATAAGTATGAGTTCTTATTCGAAAAAGCATTCTATGCTCAATATGCTCATTTACAAGCATTCGACGCTCAATGTGTTGGATAACAGCAATAAAAATGATATCCTTAACCTTTTGTCGTTCAATGTGGACTTCTGCGTTACAAATATCTTCAAAAACTAACATAGAGAGTATGTCAAATACAATATTGTAAATAGTATTAAAAATATAACTCGTAAATGAATTTAAACTTACAATTGAGTTTTCTATCGAAATTATTATATCACGATTTTATGGTATATCTTATGGTCAGCAGTTAATGTAAAGAATTTTTATGGTTTTACTTAAATCTAGCACTTATTTATATTACTTATTTATTATTTATTATACCTAAATGATGGGCGTGAATCCATCTATGCTTAGTCATGTTAAAAATACGCCCTGCTGAATAAACTTGCACAAATTAACATAAATTTTATGTTATGCGGAGCCGTATTCAAAGAACTGACTTTTAATAAGAAGTTATTACAGGTAGAGCCATAGTCTAAATTGCTAGAAACAAAAACGGCTAAATTTAAGAGCTTCTAATATTATTCGAGCTATGTGTAGCTTCGAGGCTTTGGATTGAGTACAGTGAGTCGCTACAAAATGTTCGAATAACATACTATGGTAAACTCTGTTCGAACGTTTGATGTTCGAACATTTTCGGTTATTTGAGTGGTCGATTCGAATATAATGGATCGAACATTTTGAAAGACTACTGTTTTACTTGTATTTTCAATTTACTTTCTAAATATCATTATTGCGTTGTGATTACGTTCTGGATACGTATCAATTTCAAAATGAAATTGAATTTAATTGATGTTTCTTTAAAAATAATTTTATTTATAACTATTACATTATTTCGTAAATATTTATTATAACTGAATCTGAATTCCAAGTGTGCATTTACTATGGCAAATAATTTTTTAATTTTGAGTTGTTTGAAATAAAGCTTTTTTATGTCTATTTTTTTTTTGTAATATAAATTGTATATTATTTGAGCATTAAAAAAAATAGCTTGGGGGATTCACATTAATTACATGACTCTACAAATAATATTTAAATTGCAATATTTTCTTATCAGTAATTATTTTTATTACATTTGAAAACTAAAATGTAATATTTTAGTTTTAACTTAGCATTTATTTCGATTACTGATTAAATAGTCTATTTTTATAATATTAATAAATATTACCTAGCTTAGAGGTACTATATTGGCTAATTGCCAGTAAAGATTATTTAGTATAATTACTAAACTTAGAGAAATATAAGTAGTATCTTGAGTTGTTGCATTGAATTCTATGCTTTTTTTAATGTAAAATATAATTACACGTTAAGTTAGATTATGAAGTCAGTTAAAGTCTGCCACAGTGAACAATGATGATAATAAAACATATCTTATCCTTCACAGAATTATAAAATTATCCTTTTTGAATAATAAAATTTTTGTTCGGTTGCAGTTTGTTTTACGGTAATAAACAATTATCTGTCTAGAGATATTATGTTTATTCTGTTATCTCTCTCTACTAAGGAGAAATGTTACTTTTTCATTTCAATTAGGACTATAATAAATCACTTAGTTAATAAAAAAAAAACTGATCAATTAAGACTGAAAATGTAGATATTTGCAGATTATAAGAGTTTGACGTCATTCCTTAAGATTTAAATGACTTGAAGTAACTCCAATTATGTAAATATTAATATAAATAATTATAATATTTATACATATATTATAAATATTAACACCGATAAAAATTTAATAGCAGAAAATAAATTATTAAAACAATTACTCTTGTTAACGTTCTACAACCAATAACGCATTGAAGAAAACGTCGTAGATGTCATAAAGTATATATATTCTTGATCACTCGACGAGTTAAGTTCATTTAGCCTTGTTCGTCTGTCTGTTTCATCCTTAGTTTTTCTGTTGGTTTTGAGCATTTCAAATTATACTTTAGATACATGATTTTGGAGAGTGGACTATATATTATAGATGCCTTATAAACTCAACAAGGGGATACGAATTTTTTCTGTTTTTAATGAAGACATTCTGTTTAATTTTGATACAGAATGTACTTATATTCATATAAAAGAATACACAAAATTTTATGAATATCGATTTATATTTAGATATAGCATATAAACTGTCAGATAAGACACAGCTTCGACAAAGCCAAAGAAAACATCTTTACTTGCTTATTTTTAATTATAACATAATCAAAAACTCTGATATATCTCTATAATATATTAAATGTAATAAAAATTTGTATAATAAACAATATGAATTTTACTTTTTTCTTTTCAGAAATTTCTTTACAAAGCATGCAAAAATGGACATCCACATATTGACTGTTATTGCAATTGTTTTACTCGTTTCAATCCTTTTGATATTCTTTACCTTCTTCGATGTCCTTTATTCTTTATTCATGCCTTCAACGGAGGCAAAGCCAAAAGTCAAAAAAGTTCAACAACAGAAAAAGGATCAGAAACGAGAAAAGAAGCAACGTCAACGTGATCAACACAAGGATAATGTTGAACAAGATGAATCCGATGCACATTCTGAACAACCATCTGTTGAAGAAGAACCCCAGGGTCTCTCGAAATTGCATGTTGAATTTGAGCCCGAACCAGAAGTTCTTACTTTTAATGCAGAACAATCTAGCAGGCGTGCTAGTAACTCGGATAAAACAAATACTAAACCGAAATCTAAAAAAGATAAAAAACAAGTCAAATCTGGCATCTTAGTCAATAAAACTGAACCGGTTGCTGTCAAAACTCATGCAGCCATAGAGGAGCAATTGAATAACTTTGAACAGAAACCACCAAAGGATGTACTCGAGCTTAAAAAGCAAGAGAAAAGTCAAAACAATAATATTATTAAAGAAGATAGACAAGCTGTCAAAAAGGAGAAAACTAACAAGAAGGAAAAACATATTACAGAAAAGCCGACCACTGAACAGGCAGTGGAGTCTGCACCAATTGTTGTTGCCAAAGAAGTTAAGCAACAAGAAGAAAAAACGCGTGTAGGTTCACCTAAAACCCAACAAACTGCTACAAAAATAAAGCAAACCAAGAAACAACAAAAGGAGTCTTCAGCAAATAAAGAATTACTGCTAGCATTGAATAAATTATCTGACACCGACACTATCGGTGTATCGCTTTTGATGAATCTCTTCCGTCGTGCTGAACTCAATCGCTCTGAAATACAAATATTGATTGACTACCTATTAAATAAACAACAAGATATGCCTTCGACACACTCTGAATGGTCAGATGATATATGCCAAAAACTTAAACGGCAACTTGAAGAGAAGGATCGTGCTTTGTCTGAACAGCAAGAAGCCTCCACTGGTTTGCAGGCCAAACTGCGTGAGATACGCACAGAAATCAACACAGAACGCGCTCAACTAAATGCTACAGTCAAAGCATATACTGATAAACTACAAAGCAAAGAGCAAGAGATTGCTGCACTTAATCAGGAACTACAAACTTTAAATGAAAAAGTTACACTCGAACGTCAACAATATCAGGCCAAATTGGTACAAGCAAAACAAGCTGGCTCCCAAGATTTACTTACACAATTGCAAATGATGCAAAATGAGTTGGGACATAAGGATAAAAATATTGCTGAGTTAACATGCATGGTGAATGCTTCACGTCAAGCATTCGAAGAGTTACAACAGAAAAACGATCTTATACAGCAGCAGAGCCAACAAATTATAGCATTGGAGCAGCAACGTGACGAACTTGAAGAAACCTCTAATAATCAGATTTTCGAACTTGAGAAAATAAAAACACTTGAGACCGAGAATGCCGAAAGTAAAGTAGAGATTTGTAATTTACAAAATGCTTTGGAATCTGTTAAAGCCGATTTGGCGCAGTCTAGTAAAGATCTAGAAGAAGCAAAATCAGATTTAACTGAAACACTCAATACTAAATTAAATGAAAAAGAAGTAGAAATTCAAGCCATCCAAGCTAAAAATACTGAACTGGCTCAACAGCTCAGTAGCAAAACAACTGAACAAAGCTTGGAGCAGTCTGGCTTGGAGGAGATAGTTGGTGCTTTAAAGGTAGAGTTAGCTGAAAAAGTGTCAGAGCTCAAGGGATTAAGTGCCAAAAACTCAGAATTATCACAGAAGCTTGCTAGTGCAGGCGAAAATACTCAAACTCAGCAACAACTAGTGTTGGAACTGCACAAACTTATTGAAACATTGAAGACTGATGTTGCTGGCAAAAATAAACGATTGCAGGATGCCGAGCAAAATGTATTGAAAGTTAGTAACCGCGAAAAGGAGCTGTTGCAACAGCTGAGTGAGCAGAAGGAGAAAAATAATGTAAGTAAAATTATTTTATTATTAGTTCATATGGACACAAATAAATATTATAATTAACGATCATTAAAAATTTTTATTTCGTTTACATTTCAAAATTTATCATAAGTTTTTAGTGGCACGTTCTCTTAGAAAATATTTATGCAGTTTTTCGGATTCGAAAAAATGCTTTGTTTGCAATAAAAATCTTAATAAGACAAATTATTTATTAGAAGTAACTAATTCGGATTCTGGTTAAAGCTCGTTTTAAGTTAAAGTATTGTAATACATTATTAAAAATGTGTAATATTTTTTTATATTGTATATTATTATTATTATTATTATTAAATAATAGGCTATGAATGCACCCCAACCTAAAAGATCTATTGTGCGCCTAAAGGCCCAACTTAGAGAATTCTAGCAACATTGTATATAAAAGATATAAGTAATATTTAACAATCAATTTACATTTAAGAAAAATTCAAACTATTGCTTTAGTTGTAATATGTACTGTTAAGGTTTATGCACATATTTTTATCAAGAAAATTTCAATGAAGTCTATAAAAAGTCGGATTTATTATTAAACGAACACAAATTACATTCATATAAAAAAAATAAATAATTTGATATGGTGAACATTTCGTTTATGTGAACTTCATCTCTCTAAATTAGTTTATAAGCGTGTACTGTATTACTATTACTTACAGTCTTATCAGCAATTTGTTTGGACTTAGGTTTGGCAGACCGACCTGTTTTTTCTCTTTGCTTATAAAAATGATTAAATAATATATTAAGTTAAAAACAAATACTCCTTTTTTTAATTAAAATGAAATCCTTTTATAATAAAAGAAAAACATACACCTGTTATTTGTCAACATGTTGAATTAAGATTCTTATATACATTCAAAATAAATATTTTAAATTAAAAAGTAGATGGTTGTTGAACATAAGATAATTAAAACAATAGAAGCTCATAATAATACCATATTATCCCAAAGAGACTTCAACATAATTCAGACCTCGTTCAATCCTTAAACCAATCTCTGACATACTTCAAGTTGATTGAGTGGAGATTTTCTCTTCATAATGTGCTTTGGGAATAAATATAGGAAATATTTTATAGTTACCTTTATTTTTAGTCCTCACTTTCTGGACGGAAAAAGTATACTTGACTCGACCTATTGATATCGATAAATTTATAATCCCATTACCACTAAATCAGAAATGTCGGATGTCGTTCTCGAAAATTTGTTGACCCATTTTACCCATACCACGGCAATGTAAAGTTGGCTAAAGTTTCGCAATAATGTGTTAACGTTTTTGCAATTTGTTCGTAGAGTTATGATGAATAACTCCCGCTAAACAAATACAAAGCAATAGAAGTTCTTTTACGGTCAATGTCTCTTCAGAACTATGCAAGACGCAATATAATAATATACGAACATGCTAAATCATGACTTTGTGGACTGCGATCGAATGCCATCACGTTTCGCATATTGACCATATTTATCAAACTAAAATGTTTCTTCTTAGAGAGCATAATCACAAATTGTCAACCGAATAGCAACGTTTTAAGTAGAGCCCTTCCTCTACGGTGCATCCGTCAATCTTTTTCTTCATATCTTGAATATATCAACACTTATTGAAATTGAACGAACATCAGTGAATACAACGTAGATTAACAGCTCTCCACAGAGATGTGGATTTTGTTTTGAGACTACGGTTGCATAGCAACAAAGTTTTCAACAACAGTTCTCCACTATATATTTCCAGGGAAGAGTGACGCAAAAACATTGTCTCAATACAATTAAGGCTAGAATATAGCAATGAGCTAAACAGTTGCTTATCACGCATAAATGCGTCAATTCGCGATATGTGCCCCAACTGTAGCTCAACTCTTCATGGCCTTGCTTCATGATCTGTTTTTCCTAATGGATCTAATTGTTGGAATAATGAATAATTTCACACTTGCTACCATTAAAGTATTCATTAAGTCTGAATACTTTAATGGTAGCTTGTCTGTCTGAGGAAATAAATATAATCAAAGATATAACCGCTCATTATCTTTTATACATAGTAGTTTGAATGCCTTTAAAACATTTTTATTAAAATATATTATACTATATATAAATAAGTTTACTAAAAATTCTGATTACATAGGTTATTGACTTATATTATGGTGTTACAGTTTTGGCGATAAATTAAAGTTCACTGATATCGATATTTACCAGTATAAACATATGTATTTATTTGAAAACATCATACTAAGCATTTATCACAAAAACAAATTAATTTTTAATGTATAATTGTTAAATTATAATTTTATTTTTTTCATTTATTTTTAAACTACACATGCACTTTAACTGGTACTGGGTTCTTAATTACAACAACTACAAAGTATTATATTGTTGTTAATATAATATAAGCACTTAGCCCAAAACTTCCAGTTTTCATGATTTTTTTTTTTTTCAATAGTAGCAATTATAGTTTATATTTGTTTCGTTAATTTCTTTGCTTAAACAACAAACAAAATCAATTAATTTTTTCTATAAGCTTTAACTAATTTACTGTATGTCTCATCTTAGGATTTGCGTATGAAAAACTGGAAGTTGGTTGAGGCTTTACAAAATGCTGAAACAACAATTAAAGACAAAAATACTATTTCAAGCGCAAATGCGAATTTAGTAGTAAGTGCATGTGCTATTATTAATAAATGAGAACTAATGAACTATTAATTTTAATTATTAATTTCTAAAATTTTATATAAATTATTAATTGAAACTTTTTATCTTTTATTTTTCAGCAACAACAGCAACTTTTAGCTGCCACTACACAAAAACCCTCCGCCAATTCTACAGATTCTTCATCAAAGGATCAAAAACAAATACGCGAATTATTCCAACGCTTGTACCCTGAAGCTGTTAAGGCATCCGCAGCCTCAGCTCTAAGTACACCTTTCGATCAATGGATTGAACAGGTCTTAACTACGCATGTAAAACAATCAATAAGCAAAGCCAGTACCACCACAAGTAATAGTAACAAATCCACACAGTCCAACAGCACCAACAGCAATAGCAATCACAGTAATTCTATACATAATTCACACAATAACAATCTAACAAATAGTGAATTAGGAACAGTTAATAATAACAATAATGAAAACGATAATGATAATAGTAGAATAAATAATAACAGCAGCTCAAGCAACTCAAGTAGTAGCGGTGATAGCGCAGAAGTGCAAAATTTGCATAAACAAAATGCTCAATTGAGATCACAAATCGATGAGTTAACAAAACTTGTCACAAAAACTGTAAGTCATTTGTTAAATATTATAAGTCTTATTTATAAATGCATTTATCTTAATTAATTTTATTAATATATAATGTATAAAATAACTTATCTAACATATTTAAAATGACCCTTAATCCTGAAACTTCAGGAAGTTTAAAAGTACCTTTTAAAATCTGAACCCTTTTGTTAGTAAACTTTATTCTTAATTCAAAAACCGTTTCTCTTCAAATGTTCAAATGTCTTCAAATGCAAATTCTTGGATCTATAAGAAACTTGAGTCATGTCATATACAGATAACTGCAAAGTTTTTATCTTTCGGATTAAACTATAATGTATAACAAAATACGTAGAAGAGAACGTAATTGCTCTTCTAGCTATAGGAATATTTAATTAAATTCTTGTTATTAATTTTTTCAATTAAATTGCGGTTTTCAGACACTCTATTATGCATTTTTAAATTAAAAACAATTAACTGATTTCTTACATTTTTTAGAAAACAAAAATTTTAAAATAAATTAGTATTATAATATATTATAAATCTTTTCCAACCACTTCTTTAGTCTCTGTCTTATATTAAACATGATGTTTCAAGTAAATCAGAATTATAATTTTAAAAATTTCATACTAGCACTGCTGGAAGTCTCAACTTGTATTGATTGTTTTTTTCTTAACAAATATTCTTAACTAAAAGAATGGGTTCACAGCCTGATGAAAATACGACTACTGTCTGCAAAATCTTAAATGTGTAAGATACACATATTGAAATAACTAAAACTAAAATTTATTATTGAATATTTTAAAAATTTCTTTATTATTTCTTAGTTTACTGAAGAGATACTATAGAAATAATTACTAAATATTTCGAAACTAATAATTTCATGCCTTATTTAATAAAGTGCCACAGATATGGTTAGGTAAATAACACATCCGAGAATGTATTGTCTCTAATCATATTTTTTTACTTCATATGTAGGAAATACAAGACTATGAAGTACTAGATTAAATATTAATCCAGAGGACCTACAGGCAATATATATTGTATTCTATCTATTATATTGTATTATTCTATTCTAATTTTTAGTATTAGAACTATTTCGAATCTAAATGTATAGTAAATTCGAGAAAACAAAAAAATTTATTTTACAAATGTTCTCTACTTTTTCTATATAAACATTTAATATATGCTAGATGAATAAAAATATTTTTTAATTCATTATAGAGCAACACATTGTCAGAGTTGGAAGGACGTGCCCGCGAAACGGACGAACATTGGCGCAGTATAGTGCGCTCAAAGGAAGAGCAAATTCTAGAGTTACAACATTCAAACGGAGCCCAAGTACGTACAATTTACAAATGCTTTTGTTAAAAAAAAAATAAAAATATATTTTTTAATTTGTTTTCAGGACATTTAATGTCGCATAATACGTAGTAGTAGCGGCGGAGCTAACTAAAAATAAACACAGTTAATAATAATTAACGTTATTATGCCTTCCAGATTTAATTAAATAGAGAGGAAAAAGTTAAACAGCGGTTGGAATAACAAACAACAGCAATTTTTAAACATTCTAAATAACCAACTAATAAGGATATTATTGAGGATTTAATTTAAAAAACAAAACAAAAACAAAAAAAAAAAAACAAAAAAGAAATATGTAATATGGAAAAAATACATGAATTAGTTTAAGCTTTATGATTTGTGCAATGAAAATATATGACAAGATAGCATTCAAAATTTATATTTAAAATTATGAAATGAAAACTAAACTTATAATGATGATTATTGTACCGAAATAAAACTGTCTATAAAATGTGGAAACCCTCATTGACATAGCTGTTGTTCCACAAACATTTTGCATTTAAATAAAATTTTATATAAATTGCAAAAGAAAGTAAACAGTAAGAGAACGAGTATTTGGTAAACAAGCAGTAATAAGCAAATTTATATATATACTATTATTTCAGTTAATACAATATACATAAAATGCCAATTTTTTATTTAAATTTTATAAAACTAAAATTTATGTTTAGCTTATTTAAAAAATTTGTTGTTTATACATATAAATATTATTATATATATACCTTTTCTTTTTATATAAAATTAGTTAAATAACCATTTGTCTATTTCGTTATTATGTCTATTATGAATTTATGCAAATGGAAAGTATTCACTAGATAAATTGTAAACTACTTAAAAAATAAAAAATAAAAATAGAAGAGGAAATACGTCAGCTAAAAGTAATAAAAAAAATGAAAAAAAAGTATCCTTAAAACAACAGCAACATTTACTTAAGCATATATATATATATAATAATGAATCTATTTTTATATAATAACATATATGTATGTATCATAAATGAATTGAAAATATTAGGCTGCATGTGTTTACTTCATGGCAACATTTGAAAATTATATTTCAAATAAATGAAATTGTTTACAAGTAAAATAATTTTAAATTAGCACTTAATAAAAAAAAGCAACAACAAAAAAATAAATAAAACAAAACACAAGCTGATATGCAAACTGATAAGGAATTTAGCTTTAAGTCGTGTGTTGTTTGGGTGTGCATTCTGACTTCTGACTTCAGTGCATGCCAACCGACATACAATTTGAAGCAAATTAAAATACGAATAGTTTGAAAATAATATGAAATCTAAATAAATAAAAGTTTAAAAAACAAATTTTATTATAAAATGCGAAAATGTGCGCATGAAACGACGATTTTTATTTACGTTATGCCAGAATCCAGACTTAAATGATAAAGAAAGTATGATTGGAGAATTTATGATGATTATACACATATTATAATAAACGAAAAATATAAAAAATAAACGTATTAAAATTAAACTGATATTATTATGTTTTTTTTTTCATTTTATAAATACATACTTTTTAAATCAATTCATTTCAAAAAAGATAAAGCATAAATGGAATTGAGTTAAGAGTACATAATACTATTACAAGCTGTTATTGTTTTTGTTGCAAGCTTAGGCTCATGTTATGTTGAGTGTCATGGGCACGTCAAAAGCAAAATTGTTACTGCTTTCAATGTAAATTGAAAAACTGAGAATGAGAGAAAAAACAAATGGCGGTTTAAATTCGGTCATGAGAGCCGAGACTATCTGTGCCTTGTCACTTAGTTAAAGCAGTGTTATGTGTTATGCATGTATACATTTCCTTTAAAATCAAGACACAACAAAAAAGTACATTAGAACATATGACATCCTCAAGGACCACAAGATTGATCCCATCAAAAAATACATAAAGGATAGAGCCCTGAAATTATTTACAAAAACTGAAAGGCTTACCAACACCGCGTTATCGAATCTCAGAATGGTTACAGGCTGCTAAGTGAGGTATACAGATCTAAGGTCAATTATTGGTTATTGCTTGGTCTGATGAAGTGATAAAAAGTGCTCAACTGCACTGACTCAACTTGCCTACTTGCCTAAACATAATAATAAAAATACAAAATTGACAAACAGATATGACACTCTGTATAACATGAATTTTCATCATAGCCCGAAAGTGTCAACATTGACGTGCCCTACATAACAAGGGCCACTCTACGTAACATTCTGAGAAAGTGATCTTTCCATTGAGGGTCAAAAACATTTGTATCTTTATTATAAATAAACTTTACCGTGGTCTGTATATTAGGGAACCAAAAATAAATTGTTTAAACGAATATAATGTGCTTCTATAATATTGTAGGTTCAAATTATTTAAATTCTAAACTGATTAACACAGTTTAGCACTCTTTATAAAACTTTTTTAGGTTGATCAATTATTTAGCAAAACAAAAAAAAAAATAGTTACAAAAATATAATATAATATTGTTTAGTTTGTTACCCAAAAAGGAAGAATTTTTTAACTCCTTATGAGATAAAGGCAACATCGCAGAGCGAAATCAATACCAAATAGGTGCGCCAATGTGTTTCTTCAATTGTAAACGATGTCAGAATTGCATAATAACAAAACAAGTTAACTATGAACGACATCATAACAATTAAAGATTAAATGAATACTTTTTGAAGCAATGTTACTTTCAAATTGACTGCAAGGTAGTAATTAAAAACTCAAGAATAATTATTGAATTATTTTTGGGAGAGACATAGACAGTATTTAATTTAAAAAAGTAGTAATTATTATTATTAAAATATAAGTTAGTATTTTATTATCCTGAAATCCTAGTACTCATTGGGTTGAAGTTTAATTCAATCTTTAAATTATATTGGTTTAAGAAAAGCATATGGAATTTAATTTAAAAAATAAAACTAAGAGTTATAATCATGACAACAAACTAACCTTGAATAAAATTAAAATAAAAACTACTTGACCTCCCTCCCTTTTTGAGAAACGTACGTAAGTATATGAGTTTATACACTTTTTATTAGAGAATGTGCTCGTTATTTTAGATATAAAGACTTAACAAATAGTTTAAAACTTTTAACAGAGATCTACTTGGACTATATAGTTTTTATTTTTATCGTATATTTTGTTCTAACGATATGCTGCGTATACAGTTAGTTACATGCGTTTGTATTCTTAAAAAGATGTACAATTTATTTGGTTTGATTACAATTGTTTTAAATTATAAAAATTCATTTTAAGATGTATATATGAGGAAATAAAAATAAAACCAAAAAAAAAATTAACTTACTGCGTACACATATACATATATTAAAATTGAAGATTTTTTTCGTAGATTGATTGTTAGAAACAATATACCAAAGTGCCAACAGAACTTTTGATTATGTTCTTTATGCAGCGAATTTGTTTTATATTTAACTGTGACTTAGAATTAATTTTGTAATTTATTGGTATTTTTATTCCACTGGTTTAAGTAGGTGATGGTGGTTTTGTTAGATATTCAGCTGGCACAACCATATGAAATGGATATTTTAGTATATCAGCACATGAGGGTCTACTTTTAGGATTGTATTGTAAGCAATTTTTTACAATCTGTAAAATAAATTTTTAAAATATATAAATAATTTAAAAAATTTGATATTTGAACAAATATTTTACATTTAAAAGCATTGCAGGATATATTGGTTGCAATGTGGGATATTCAATTTGATGCGTTGGACTTGAAATTGTACTAATTTTTGCCATCACGTTTTTAATATGACTAAATGGAGTTTTCTGGTAAAGCAATAAGTATAATATACAACCAAGAGACCAAACATCTGATTTGGTAGATATCTGTAAATTTATAGTAGAGCATTAGTAACAAATAGATATATGTATATAATACATTCATATAAAATTATATAAATAAATTAATATTCATTTATTGTTCTAATGACTAAAAAAATTTTTTAAAAATAATTTTGTTTTAAAAACAATTATATATTTTTTAAAGTTTACTATTTAACTAATGACCAATTAGCCCGTAAAAAACAAAATTATTTTTAAATAAATTAATATGAAATTTAAAATAAAAATAAAATAATAAATATAATATAATTTAGATATAACAGAATCATCTAGGAACACATAAAAGTTGATATGAATGATATAGATTTCATAAAAGTCAAAAAAAAATTGAAATTAGCATACAATTAGCATTATCGTAGTAAGAAACATATTTTAGCATCTTCAAAGCTTCATATATAATGGTACATTATTCACCCAATAAAACTTTGTAAAGGCAGCTAGAAGTAGGATACAAACAGCCAATGCAAGTGACTATGGCAAAATCTCTATGGAGATTTAAAGTAATTAATCCAGGCATTTAAAATGTTCTATTTACAAGACCCCGTGTTTATTTTAACAAAATATATTTTTGTTTTAATTTCTTTGTTTTCTTTATTTTTTTTTTGATTTCATGCTTTAATTTTAATTTAAAATGTTGACCTGTATAAGTAAAACATTAATAACAAAACAGAACAAAACAAAAATAGAACAATATAACTTTTAACAAGAAAATAATTTACTGTTAAGTTTAAATTTAAGTTTAAACTTTTCAAAAATAATATGTTTTAAAAAATAATATGCTTGAAAACTCTATTCTAGACTATATGTAGAATAAACAAATTAGTACTAGGGTTTGCAGCTGTATAGAAGAGACCGATATAATAGGTAATCTAATAACTTACTAGAGAAGATGGGATCTAAGAATCGATTGATTGGGTAGACGAAGACTTGGCCTATTCGCTAACGGTTTTTGTCGGAGTTATGTCTCTGTAAATGAGGAATAAATTGTACTCACAAAATGTGTCAGAGCCTATCATTTGCTATGAGTAGATTTAAAATCTTTGTGGCTGTTCTAACTAACCTGACTGAGGTGTTTTCTCAAGAGGGATGCTTTCACTAGATGCTTTTAACTTGTAACTTTCAAATGATCAGAACTGGCGTTTGAAGAGTAGCTCATCAGTGGTGTCACAACGGAACATTATTTGTGCTTAAGTGAGATTATGCTTAAGTGAGTGTATAAGACTGTCACTCCAAACTAGCCTTACTTAGGGTATGCGCCAGCCAATTACGGTTTTATATGTAATAAATACATTTTTAAGACATTGAAATTTTTTTAAGTAAGTAAAACTATAAATTAAACTTTTACACATGAATATGTCCACTACTTATCCGAATAGTATACATTACTACTCCCAGAATGTCAAACTAAAGTCAATCAAAAGAGATATTTTAGGTACACATGATTAAAGAAAAAAAAAAAACGATTGAAAAAGTGGCTTATTGACGACCGGCAAAACAAGCTTTCAACTATTGTTGATTTGTTTTTTACCATGTCATCTGTGGAAAAATACTGGAAGACCCCAAGGCTTACAAACAGCTATAACGTTCAAATAAATATATTTATATACTTATGTTATGTATATATATACTTTTAACATTTATATAGATACTTTTATTATTTATATATATACTTCAAAAATTTACATATATACTTCTAAAATTTACACATATACTTTTGTTATTTATATATATAGATACTTATTATGTTTATATACAAACAATATTTTTTTTATGTCTGCTAAAAATATTTTACCTTAATTTTTGGTTGATTACTACGCATTGGGCTAGAGCCTGTCGAAGTATCCGTTAAAGCTTCCGGACTAATATAGTTGAAGGTTCCCGCTTGTGAGAATTTAATAATACTTGTAGAATCAATAGATATATTACTCGCAATGCCAAAATCAATCAGTTTTAATCTACCATTTACCGACAAAAAGTTTGCAGGCTTTAAATCGGAATGTATTACTCCTAAAAAACAATTGTATGTATTCTAATACATATACATACATATAAAAATTAAAAATGTTACCACTTTGATGTATGTAATTGACTGCTTCCAGCATTTGATGTAAATAACTTATCAAAGTATAAAGTGGCAAATTGGTGGTGTAGCCTTGCAGTATTTTATGGAGGTCAGAATCACCTTTTTCCATGATCATAAATAATTTTGACTCAGTGCGTAATAAATGACTAATAATATTAAAACCATAATGATTAATATTCCAACAGTTTTATGCATATAAACTCACTAATCAAACAACTCAACCACAGAGAAGTCTCCTTGCAGTTTTGCCAGAAGCTTCGTTTCATTAAGATAACCTTCAACAACCGCAGGATCGCATCGCAAATCAACAACCTTTAAACATACAGAAAATATATAAAAAATATGCAGAGTTATGGTGGCATAAATATACCTTTAAAGCACATTCTTTCCCATCGTATTGACGTTTGGCCAAGTATACTGAACTGGAACCGCCCACGCCTAGTTTCTGCATTATAACATAATTTTTGTTATTTATATGTAAAACTTTCTCGCCACTGCTAGTTTCAGTGTATACTGTTGCAGCTGGTTTTGCAAAATGTGGCTCTTGTTGGTGTTCCTTGTTTTTATCAATTTCATGAAATGCATTTTCCAAGGATTTTTTACTTTTGCCGACAGCAATCTGATTATTCTCTACAGGCAACGGAATGCTTTCATTAGTTTTTGACGATGATTCACAGCCTAAATTTATGGTATCACAGAGTGATAATGTTAGACTATCATTTGGTACACAGTGGGCTGGTGCGCGTGACATTGCCATAGGTGTCTGAAATAGTACTTTCTGGGAGCGAAATTCATTGACCCGATCAGTACGTGTTTTTTGCGACTGTGGTAGTTCGCATTCACGTTGACTTCGTTGTACTGAAAAGGAACGTACACACACTTGTGGTGTGATAAATAATGTTTCTGGATTTTTGTGACTTTTGGCTGATAATTCAACATCTGCTTTTAGTGGTGTTTCTAAATCTTTAGAATATGTTTGTTCTCTAGTTTTAGTTTGAGTTGCAGGTTGTTGAGTAACTTCTTTGACGATTAGTGGCTTATGTTCTTGTATGATTTGTAATGGTTTGGATTGTGTTTTTGATTGATTGTGATTTTGGACTTTGTCTCCTTCATACACTGCTAAGCCGTCGAAACGTGATATAAGTGATAAATTTTTATCGCTTTGATCAGCTGCAGCTGATGAATTAAGAGAACTTCTTACAGAAATTGGACTATCTTCAAGTTCACTCTTTGATGGGCTTAACATGAACGAGTCATTCAAAATCGCACAATTTAAATTATCATTTTTGAGAAATTCATCTTCTTCGGAATCAGATTCCAATATAGGCAATTCTGATCGTTTTTTGGGACTTAATTTAAAAGCAATGTATTAAAAGTTCTTAAAAAAAAACAAAATAGTATTCACTTCTACTTACTACATTCGCAATGCACTAGTTGTCGTTTTACCGGCTGCGTTATTATCAACATTTTCCTTATTGTTTTTACTACAAAAAAATCAATTACTGTTATAATCGCCTGGTAACATATATTTTTTATTATTACTTTTGTGTGTTAATGGTACTTCTAGGTTTTTGTGGTGTATCGAAATCTTCATCAGATTCATCTTCTAATACTGGTAAGTCTTTTATTCTACGCGGATACTGAAACGGCATTTCATTATTTTGCAAAGGAAATTAAATTTGAAAGAACTGTCTAAAAAATTTAATTCAATTATTTAAGTATGAATATCGAAATCACAAATCCAAAATAAAAGCGCAATTTTATAAACAAAATCAAATTCTAATCAATTCGCTTTCATCGCAGCGAAATTATTCAAGTTACCAGATCAAAATATATATTTTTTATTCACTTTAAATAAAATTAATTTTAAAAGTGTATCACGCATCATACTTGGTTGCAGGCTTGGTTTCCCATAGAGTGAAAGTCTATGAATGATCTAAATACTTTCATATTTCAACAGTTTTATCCGTAGTTTATCTTTGATTCTGATTAGATTTTTGTCAGTATCCATACAAATTGTATTCTGATTTAAATTCTTGGAGTGTACACATCAAAGCGTATAACGCAAATTAAAAATATTTTCTACATTGTATCAATGAAGAAATGTTAGGTATTAAAAAAATATCTTATTATATATTATATTAAAAAAAAACGTTATACCTAAAAAGGTCTTTAACCATTAACTCCACCTAAAAATAGATTAATTTATTTTATTAGTCAGTGTCATAACCAAAATGAAAATATAAATTGAAACGTACAATAGTAGTAATATTAATTCATTTAAATTAATATTAATTTTATATTTTGTGTAATAGCAAAGGCTGTCATATTAAGTTAGCAGCTAACTATGATATGAAATACCCCTTTAAAGTAATTCAAAGTTTTTTGGTGGTCGATCTGATATAATATGGCGTTTACATTGGCCGAAAATGGCTCATTTTGGTCAAAAATCGAAAATGAGTAGCGAATGGCTCATTCTTGCATATAAAATTTCAAGCTCGAAAATGAGCAATTTTCTCACATTCTGTATGAAAGACGTTCGGATGCATTCCTCATATGTTCCAAATGCAAGGGAACCCATTGAACACACCCTAAATGAAAGCTCTTCATGGCATTTTGACAGTTTGAAAAAGCTGTTTTAACATATTTACAAAAAAAGGTAAACAAATGTTTGGTGGTTGAATTTTCTTTAAAACGATGCACCAATTTTTGGAACTTCTACTTCCCAAAAATAAATAAATCAAATCTATAAACAAGTTTTCAGTTTATATTGTAAGGTTTAAAGGTATATTTAACCTTCCTGTAACATTTTTTTTGGCACAGGCCAAAAATTAAATCAACATGCAAGTTGAAAAATCAGCTGTTTGAAATGAGAAAAAATGAAATACAACGAATGTAAACACTTTCAAATGACTCATTCAGAATGAGCCATTTTCAGCCAGTGTAAACGCCATATTACTTATAATTATGATTTTAAGTTATATATAATAAATAAATTAATTTAAGATAGTCAAACCTGCATTTGTTAATTATAAGTAATAAATAATATATTTTATACTGAATTATCAACTTTTTCTTATAAAATGCTAATTTAATAAAAATATGGAATTATTATTATATATTAGTAAAAAACAAAATTAATACTTTTCAATTCTATGTACAATTGTTTAAAAAGCATAATAATATTACACATAAAATGCATTTATTATTTTATTTTCATATTAATAACATTTTCAATAAATTTATTTTTTAAAATATTTTTCCAAATAATTTCAACGAATATTGGGCCTTTTCATGTTTTCTACATAGCATGCTAAACTCGTATTAAAATGCTAATATGTTAAATTGGTGAATAAAAACATAATAAATGCATACTTTCTGATTAGAGCAGAGCATGATTTTCAAATCTTTGTCAAAAAAATTATCGGGAATTGCAAAAACGTTATTTCGAATTTAACAATTTAGCAAATCCATTGTTAGATTTATTATTTCAATAAAGTTCATATATTGACATTTTATACACATTTAATAACTCAGCATTTATTGTCTTTTAAATATTATAAAAATATTGTAGTTATATACCGACCAATACTTAAGCATAAAACTTTTTCCTCTACTTTCAGAGAGATAGCTGTTAAATAAATGTAGTCTGCTAAAACTAAATATACATATGTAATTCACGTTATAAAAAAAATTGATTTAAATCTGATGTAACGAAGAAGTTTGTTGTGTCCTATGATAAATTATTTATAATCAATTTAAAAATAATAATAATTATTTTACTGTTCATGTTAAATTAGAAGTATTAACTTTTATACGTTGAATGTATTATAAATGTTAATTATTATTTTTAAAAATTGTAACTGCATTTGAATGGCTTTTCGGTCGTAGGTATATATTAATAGCCCATTCAAGATGCAATTGATTTATTACAATTAATAAAACTATTCTAATTCTATATAGGAAGTGTTCAGATTGTAAGTTTTAATTAATTGCAACAACCGAAGCATACAGTTTTATGTTTTTTTATTTCATACAAATTAATTTCACCTTTATATATAAATTTTAGATAAATTTACGATTTTTTAATTATTTTCTAATGTAGCTTAAGCGTACAAAAAAAAAATAATTCCTGATGTTTAATGGGAATAAATCTTGTATTGTAATAAATCTGCAAAAACAATTATACAGTACTTATCGCAATTCGCACTTAAATTAATTATACAGCTTGAACGTACTGTTATGATATTAATGTAATAGTAATATTATTATTATTATGTTCAAAACTTTGCACTGCAACCTAAATATATATTGTATCTTCTTCATGAATTCAGTATATTTTTCTAAATCGGACTTTCGCAGTAAATTGTAGTTTTTAATCTATATTACTAGCAACATTTGTCTTAAGATTTCATTCAGTAATACTTAATCATAAAAACACCATAATACAATTTATATTTTGTTGTATTATTGTATTGATATTGCGTTCATAGCATTCATATTTGAATTTAATTATATATTTCCGACTGAGATATCAGCTTTTAGTATACCAGTTATACCAGTTATTTGCGCAACTTGATACAAATAGTTTTTTCTAAAAATACAACACTACAACATATGCTCATTTTTATTTGTACTCACAGTGCAGCTGCAGAATTGCTCAAAATGAACAAAAAAAAACAAAACAAAATATAAAATATAACAAAGGCGATTATCATTCATTGCAATTTGTGTGTGTTTGTTTAGAAATAATAAGTTATGCATATATAATTTTTCGAAATTGTTTGAAACGCAAGAAAGTGTCAAATTTGTTTTTGTTTAAAACTAAATAAATAAAATACATTTTTAAATATACATATTGAAAAGCCGGTTTTGAAACTTTTGTTTTTCCGAAATGGAACGTAATGCACCCGAAGGCGCTGTCATAATTACTGGAGAATCAAGCATGGGTAGCGTGCCAAACGATCAACAATCATTGGTAGATCCGGTGCTTAGTACAAATGATACTGGTACCTTCAAGCCTTTAAAAACAATACCGGCTTTTAGGTAAATATTAATACGATTTCCAAAGTTGTAATTTCAATATCTTGCGCAAATGTGATTGGCCTTAACACGATTCTTTGGTTTAAAAATAGGTTTATTGATTGAGTATACATAACAAAATTGCGTTCTTTTTGAACAGTAAGTAGTTAGTTTTTTTATTAGAAAAATATATTTTTTTTATAATCTAAATAATGTGTGTGTATATCATTATATATGTGATGATTCAGCAACCTCGGTGTGAAGTCATAAAATTTAATTGTCAAAATAATTATATTTTTAAGGTATATGCTGTCTTAATTTGTTTATCAATATTAAAATCGTATATAAACAAATACTTAAAAGTGTACATATTCAAAATTTTTTGTATAAAGTTGCAAAATTCTTTTGTTTAGCTTTCATAATGAAAATTTATCAGTAATTATAAAGGATTAGTAGCTTGGTTCCAAGATCCCCCGGGTCTACGTCCAGGAGCCATTCGTTAATTTCGACGTCCAAGTACAGTTTAACATCCCCCAAAGAATTAGCAACAAAATACAGAATTGTGTAGTTTCATTTTTGCAGTTTTTTCATAAATAATTATGCAATAATTGCTCTAGACCTTAACTTATAAAAAAAAAATGGAATTTGGGCTTCCAATTAAACATGGTTCTCTTACATAAATACATCTTTTATATCACTGTACACTCTATCCAAAAATATATGTTATTATTTTCGTATTGAGGAGCATATCATTATCACTAGAGTCAAGAAAATTAATTTTAGTATTCTTCTTCTTGTTTACAATTGATATGTATGTATATAATCTCCCCCACTCAAGATGTAGGAACACTATTCTGTATATACGTAAATATAATAAATTGAGTTTGTTTCGAACCGTAGAAAAGAACGGTCTTTTATGTTGCTCGAATATATACATCAACCACAAACCCAGGCAACTACATTAAAATTTAAATAGAATTCTCATCACAAACTATAAAAGGTTACCACTTTGTTACAATAGGTAACCTCCTACTTTGGGTTAGTAGGATATATCAAATTTTTTCTTAGGTTACTATATTCGGCAAGAATATATTAAAAAGTCTAGAAAACAATCCCAACAATTCATGTTCTGACTGCTGCTTAACAGGATGCACATATGTAAGCATCTTTCAAACTTCAAATCAATCAAAAAAATTCTCTACAGCACAAATCATTACCCACGTCTGAGACACATTATTCTATTTTTTCTAGAAAATTTTATTTTCAATTTATTACAGAAAATTTTAAACTTCGTTCTTCTCTATTATTCCAATTGCAATACCGTCCCTGAATTTCCATTTTTTTCAATCCAATCTATCTTAAATAGCTAGATTAGGCAAAAGCTCAACTTCCTCAAAGTTACAATGATCTTTAAGTTAGAACTGAAATCCAATTTACATTTTATTTTTATTTACACCAGCTTTAATTAAAATGTAAAAATTATGTTTACTCTATTTTATATTCTCTTTGTATTTTTCTGTTTAATGCACTTTACATGAATCAGTGCAAGTTATCGTTTTACAGCAAAGAAAAAATAAACTGACTGCTTTACTAAATATTAAATAACAAAAATACAATATTATTATCATTAATAATTTATTGTTTAAATATCTTTCTTTATTCCAGCATACATTTATTTATATCGACAATAATCTCATTTGTTGGTATCCTGTTGGCTGCTGTTTGGCCTCCAGAAAAACGATGTGAAGCCTATTTTATTATGTTATATTTGCGTGCTACATTTTGGGTTATAACTTTCGTAAGTAATAAATGATATATATTCAAATATATAAAAGTAAATAAGATAATATTTGAATCACAGGTTTTCGATCATGTGATAAAAAAATATCATGATGATTTACGCATCAATGGATATCATGAATTTCACCGTGCCACCGCTATGCAAAAGGGTATACCATTGAATATAGTTTCACTTTGGAATTCAGTGCTATTGGCTGTACAGGCAATGCTTCAACATTATTATGGTGAACAGTTCTGGTCACACTGCATGGCTGGTTTTCTATCTCCTATAACATATGTTGCAGCATTTAATTTGGCTGAGACAATCGTATTAGCAGCTACGCATAGTTGTTATATATGTAAGTGAAAGTATTTTTATGTGAAAGAAACTTGATTTTATATATTTAAATTTTTTATTATTATAGCTAAAGTTTTCAAATTCAATAAAGCACAACAGCCACCAGATGCTTTGAGAGGTCTGAATAATTTAAATGGTTCATTGGGTCTTACACAACCTGGTAGTACTACAGCTGAGCTATTAGAAAAACAGGTAATTCTAATTATATCTTATTAATTGTAGATACATTTCTTACATATATTCATAGTACATAAATATAGAATTAAAACTAAGGTACTAACTTACTAGTCGCGATATCGAAATATTAAAACATCGTATTTAATTTATGTCAATTTGCGTGATAACAGACTGCAGTAACCAGAAGAAAAACTCAACGTACACATACCTCTGTCCAATTGATCTTTGGAGCCATCCCATTGAAGTGGCTAGATTTCTTTATATTCATCCGGGTTAATGTTCAATTAAATGCGACCCGCGCAATACACGACTTATCCTCATTTCCATCTCCATTACCCCCAACCACTATCCATCCACCTCTGTTATTTTTATGATATAAACTTATTTAAAGTGACTTTAAATTGATACATCATATTGAATTTATAATTGTAAAGTCTCTAGAATTCATCTTCCTAATATATATGAGGCAACTATTTTTAACTATGTTAAAAATGTAAAGCATTTTTAGTCGACACCTCTCAAACCCATACGTAATTACTGATTAGATCAACTACTTGTAATCTAATCAGTAATTACGTATGGGCTTGAGAGGTGTTGTTGTAACCCGCGAGAATCTATGAAGCAGATAATATGAAGGGAATTACAAATTCGTATATATGGATTAAGATGTGAGTAGGTGATGACAGTTTGGGAGGGAACGGAATTGTTGACGACTAAAAATTTATTGGGGATGGGTATTAAATATAGTCTTTTCTATACCTTAATCTCTGAAAATTTTTTACAATATTAATACAGTCAAACTTCCATAACTCGAACCAAAAACAGTGCACCAAGGTTTTAGAGAGCAAATTACATACAATTCTGTTTCCATAACTCGAACTTCTATAACACGAATTTCTCTGTAACTCGAACAAAAATTTTGTTCCGTGCCGACAGGAATATGGGAAAGTGTATTTTATAAGTCGAATTTTTTTTTAAGTATAAATGCATTTTGCGGTTTAAAGTAAATAAAATAACTTCCAATGTTACTCTTAACGATTATATTGAGTTTGACAATGAAATTTGTGTATCAAACTTATGACGATATTATTGAGCACTATAGCTCTAAATTACTGGATCCAATTCTAAGCGCAACGGAAGGCGAGGGCTCAGTAGAAGACGAAGTAGTAGATGAAGTAGAAGACTCATTCAAATTCTGAATGTATATTTACAAACGAATGATATTACAACTGATCACTATAAGGCTTTAAATAAAATGGAATGTCTTTTTACTAAAAATAAGAAATAGAAGAATTAAAATCCCAAACACTGATTTCTAATTATTTCACTTCACTATAACTTCTGTGCTGTATTTGATTTTAAATAAATACATCAGTATCTTAAAGTGTAATTCTAGTTTCTTCCAAATTATTTTTATTTTCTTAAAATAAATAAAAAATCTTTTGGGACTAAACTGGAATAATTTGGATTGAGGAAATGTGCTATATATGTGACATAATTATTTTAATATTTTATGCAATAAATAACAACACCCTTATTAATAAACTTTTTTAATTTTAATTTCAGGCGGATCTCATAGCATATCTAAAGGACCATAATCAAAAACTCAATAAGAAACTACATCAAATGCAGTTAAATGCACGTACTGTAAATTTAACTCATTAACTATTAAAATGTCTTGCAAATTTCTGTTGTTTAGCATGTTACAATTGAAAATAAATATAAAATAAATAATGTAGTACTGTTTATAGAATATTTATATATTTTTTATAGTCTTTATGTCGATTTTGTCAACCTTAAATTAAAATTTAAACAAATACAATATGATATTCATTAATTGTATGCATTTTTATATATACATATAAACTATGAATCAAAATAAAAGTCTCTTTCAAGCGTTCATTTATTATTATTTAAATTTTATTCAGTTTTATTATTTTAACAAAAATTTCAATTTAAAATACAATGTTTTTACTAAAATTAAAACCATGCATTTTCTTTAATTGTAAATGAATTTACAAAATGGAATCGATATAAAAGCATTATATGCTCTTACAACATATTTAATATGAACAGAAGTAAAAGCAAAAGTATTTATTTACTTAATTATTAAGTAAAAATTTTAAAATTAATAAAATTAGTCTGACATTTTATCGAGTAAATGCTTCGGGATATCAATAACCTTAATAACTCTGTCCTTCGATGAAGTTAAAACCTATAAATAATAAGAAAAGAAGTAATTTTAATTATTAATCGGTTCTTATAACTGCGTTACACAACCACTGACCTTATTTCCAATTACTTCCAAAGCCAATACTAATTTTCCGGAACCGGGAAAACTTCCAATTTGCGTATTTGTTTCTTTATTTATTATATATATGTAACCATCATAACAACCAGCGAATAAGTATTTGTCTTTATATGGTTTCATTGATACAATGCCATTGCCACAATTCTTCACAACAGCTATTTGGGTTCCAGTCTGTTGAATTAGAAAAATATTATTTAATTAAATGCAATGCAATTAACGCAGTTTAAATTTAAAAATAATTTATTATTAAATAATGTAATCAAATTATTACTGTAATATCATACCATAATATCATATTTGTAAATTTCCTTATTATTGGTGCCACAATAAATATGACCAAAGTCCAGCATTATGCTGTAGATATGTGCAGTTCTGGGCATGTCTAGTGTGCGCAATAGTAGACCAGTGTCAGCATCACGAATGTTTACCGCATTTACTTTTGATGCTATAATCAATATTTTACGTACTCCCTCCTTAATTGCTTTTAAAGCAATTACCGGACTATGTGTGGAACAGATTGGACTTTTTGCATATGACTTCACCTGCTAATTAAAAGAATTACGAAAATTATAATTAAATGTTTATGTCATAAATAAATTAAAAAAAAATAATTGTGTCAGGAATGAAAGTCAAAAATATTATCTTCCTTGTATTGCCAAATAGAGTATTGCCTAATAGGCAGGTATGCATAAACACTAAGGGATTGTTCATATTATACACTTCCAATGCAGCGATTTTGGAGCGTTCTTTAATCGTAGGTGTTCACACTAGGGATTTAACGGCTCATTAAGAGATATGTCAGTAATAAAATGGAAAACATATTACGTCATAGAAATATACATATATGAAATTAGAATTCAGTACAAAATTACATGAAACTATTTGTAATTTTTCCTGTTAAAAGGCAAATGAAAGAAACGAAGGGGTGAGACTAATTAGTTGCAACTTTGAATTGTAAACTTCAGTGTTTATTATGTGTAAGTTTTTAGTAATAATATTTGAATAATATATAACAAATGACAACATTTAACCATTTTTTCAATTAAAGACAAAAATGTAGGAGAAAAAAATAAAAAAAAAAAAAACAAAAATCAGGATGTGAAATGTGATATGTCAGGACCGCACATTTTCATTCGAATATGGACGCTCTGCATAACAGTGTACATAATCCGTCGTTGGTATTATGCTCGATAGGTCATTATGTATGTCTCTATGTCTTGTCGAAGTCTTCGATAACGAATATTGCCGTTCCCAACTGGGATCTTATCAAAAATGCAAAAACATAATGTATATTATTATTGTTTTTGTTCATTTATTTCCTACAGATCTATTTTCATGATCAGTATTTCTTGAAATCAAGAGTTTTTGCCTACCCGACCTTGCAGTCCCTGTTTGAAGTTTTAAGCGTGCGTCGAAATCACCTATGAAACTCTAGTGCTTAGTTTTAGCCAAGTGCCATGCAACTCTTTGAAAAGTCTGTTACGAGGATGTACGGGTAGAATATTGGTAGTTCAATGGATTTGAAGCAGAAATATACATATCTTGGGGAGATAAGTAGTCATAAAAGCCTCAGAAAAATGCAACACATTTAATATATTTAATAAATATGCCAAACATAGTTTCTGATGATTTTACTATTACATAGCAATAAAATAATTTAGATAAAGTTACAAAAGATAAAGTTTTAATAATATCACGATAAATATTATGAAATTATAATATTAATTTAATAATAAAAAATAATTATTTTATGATATTTTTACTAAATAAAATATTATCTGTAACGAAAACTTTTATATACGGTTTTTCGTGTATTCCCTCTGGGAGGGTATTTATGATACTTAAAATTAAATTGAAATCCCGTGACAAGTGTAAATACACAATGTTAAAGAATATCGTAGTCAATTAAAACCAAAAAATTCCCAAACGGATTGTTCATGGTAAATTTCTAATATTTCTTTATACTTATTAAACGGGTTCAGTACTTAACTTCAATATCATTTTTTTATCGAAAAATGCACAATTTTATTAACTATAACTATTATTAATTATAATAATTATAATTATTAATTATAATTCAAAAATCGTTTCCATTGTAGAAAGCAATGCATTTCTTCACGAAAATGAAGCATGGACATTTGAAGATATTATAAGTGATTTATCAACCACTTCATATAAGTAGAAGTCAGACTTTTTAACAGCAATACCGTATATCTTTTATTGATTTACATATTTATATAGCATACTGCTTTTCAACAAACTACAAGTCTTTGCAAGTAGATTTTTCCATTAAATTATCATGCAAGTCTAAGTCACCTTTGATATATTTATGCAAATAGAATAGTCTTCTTCAATTAAGCTGGTAAAACTAGTCACCCATATTTTACTGTTGCATATAATTTGCCATAATTTAATTTAATTTTGAAATATTGGAAGGCTATGATGACGTCTTATATTACATTATATTGTATTATTGTCTAAAAGTTGCAATCCTAGAAAAACTTTACTAGCAAAGTAATCGCATAACCCAAATAAAGCGACTACTAATACGTGTGGTATAGGAATGTTATACACATAGATTCTGACAAATTGAGATTCATACACATGAAATTTAACTTAGGTATATACAAACGTTATGGACTACAGTAAAATCAATGTATCAATTGAAACTAATATGTTCCGGCGATCTCTAACAAAAAGGTGAAGAATTTCGTGCAAGTGAAACAGGATTAATAAAAAAGAACAGAGTCAATCTAGAATAAAATCAAAAGATATGAAGTGTGAACAAACGTCTTTAGACTTAGATAGCTAAATTTTTGTAAAACAGTAAAAATACTAAATAACCGGATCCGATAGATATTAACGAAATGTTTTATATGTCAGAACTTTCAAAATCTTTATAATCAAGATCGCATTCTATATTCTATATATTCTAAACTGGCAGACTAAAAGAAATTGATATAGAGAAGTATATCTTGCCTCAGTTGATGTATTGTCATATCTTGTCTTGAGATTACCACTACTTACATTAAAAAAAAACGATGCGTTTGGGTTTGTTAACATACGGTTAATCAGAGAATGGAACAAAAATATTTTTAAGAACAAATGTGTGAGAACAATTCAAAAAACATGAGTTAGACCAAAATTTATTTAAATACATTTTTTATATTCAGATTAAAGAGTTTCGTAATTCAATGCATATATGTTAAAACTCAGAGCTAAAAAATAGTTTTGAAATATGACTGTGGTAGTATTACGTTTTTAGACAGGAACGCAGCCAGAAAAGGGGTTTGAAAGACTGTAGGTCAATCTGAAATGAATCGAAGGATTATAGTTAAGCATATGTATATTGAGTAATATAAAGAGTTATATATAGTATACTGGTTAATATATAGATGGTGTTGTCGCTCATATATCTGGCAAATCTAATCCGATTAATGAAGACGTGTTTGAAAGGTGATATTTTAAGCCACATTTTTTTAAGGTAGTTGTGTAATTCGTCATTAGTTTAAAAATTTTTTATTTAAATATAAATGAAATATCTGAAGAAATAAACTATGTGAGGTTTTATTACTATATAAACGATGAAAATCCTGCAAAAACATGCCGAAAAATTTAACGGAAAGAATGCTGTGAGTGAATGTCGGCTTCAGTAGTGGTTTACTGCACTTCAACTACATAACTGTTTGACAGTTGGTTGATGTTTGGGTAACACATAAATTTATACAAAGAAATTTGATTGCCCGAATACCATCAGTTAAACGCTGCCGAAACACAACGCAATCTAAATATTTTTGACGTAAATCATAAAGGGTGATAAAAAATTTATTAAATATCCAGAATATCCAACGTAAAATGTCATGATAAAAGGCCGGTAATCCGCTATAAACCAATTCAAAGCCTAGATTGACGACATATAAGGTTACATTAATTGTTTGTTGAGATTGGAAGCGTTACGCAATATTATTTTTAAATGGATTAGACCTTTTCATTAAGATTAATGTTTTTTAATGGCTGAAATTCCAAAGTTAATTCCAAGAAAATTCGGAACGTTACAAATTTAAGGTTAGAAATAAATAGAAAAAATATTTTCACTTTAATTACAGTCAGTTTCTGGCACAAAATATTTACAGCGGTTGCGGTGTTTTGTTTTGCTGGGAGCTCTGCTAAAGAACCCTTAAATTCTATTCTATACTATTCTAGACGAAATATGAACGTATTGTTCGAACCACTTACCGGTACGAAGTTTTGAGTTAATGGTACTTGAAAGAGACCATCCAAAAAAAATTATTTTATAAAAACTTGACAATATATAAAATTAAAATTTGACAATAAAGCCAAAAAAATTTTTTAATGGGGTTTTCGATTTTCAAATTTGCGTTTAATCTAGACTTGTAATGTCATGCAATGGTTTATGGATTAGGCTAAGGCCTTTCTGCTTTGCGACCAGCTTGATCTTTTTTGCACCCCTTTGTATTAACACATTTAGTATCTCGAGGAATAGAATAAGCTCCTTCGGCGAGAGTTTTTGAAGATCTTCATCCTCTAGTTGGTATGTACCTAATACATTGTTTTTTCTGTGTCGTAGTGCATCATTGTTGGGGATCAGATGTTCCATAGACTCTTTCTCACAGCAAAATCTGCAAATATTTGTATCGGATATACCTATTTTGTGTAGGTGTTCATTGCAGGCGGCGTGGCCTGTTAGTGCACCAGAGAATGAGTTTAGACTCTTCTTGTTTAAGTTAAGAACGATGTTTGCTCTTTTGACATTAAAAGTCAAGAATTTTTTTGAATGATTTAGGCCGTCTGTGCCATTCCAATATTCAATGTTTCTTTGTTGGATCCATTTTTTGATCTTCTGTTTTATTTTCTTTTTATTGAAGTCAAATGGGCCGATGAAAGGCTCTTTTGTCCCTTTTTTGACATAAAGGTCCGCCTTTTCGTTGCCTTCGTGTCCTTCATGTCTGGGTACCCAAATTAGAGAAACCTGTAATCTAGACTTACTCCCGATCTATCAAATAAATAAATACATATGTATACCGAATTAAATCATACTTTATTTTTCAAGTCATATAAAACAGTTTTATATATCAGCGTAATCGTGCTACTCTGGCAAAATATCTAGAGTGTTATAAATCAATCCTGTGTGTTATACATTTTGCTCGAGATTTACCAATCGGACATGAATATTGCACTAAAAGTGTATGTCGATTGAAAAAATTACCTCAGAGTTAGAAGTCTCGAATTGTTTTACGTGATTTCCTGTCGGGATAACTCAACATCACGGTGCTCTTAACACACATATTAATATAAAGCGTCAATCAACGTCCCATTGGCCTTCCTTATTCCGCCGGTACCAATGAAGAAATTCATGTAAGTCATAACTTCCACCTTGGTGAGATGCGAGGCCTACCTTAAACCTCTGCTACAATTTGGGCTGTAGCACCCGGTGTGAAACGCACTCCACGGCGAATGAATGATAATCCAATACCAAATCATTCTTCCCGCGTACGTTTGGGTATCAACCGACAGCCACTACGAA